TATATATATATATATAGAAATATTGGTACAATTGACAAAATACCTTTTGGAAATATCCATAGATTTTATTCTAATTAATCATTAACTCTTCATTTTGTATTTTTGTATTCATAGACTTGTATCACCATTATATGATGACTCATCTGAAGATCTCGCAGTCAATGTTATAAATACACTATTTAATGTGGATAATAGGCAATCGTTAATTAATACGAAAATTTTGGTGAACGGTCAAATTAAAGATTTAAATGAAATACAATATGATGCAGAAAATCTAATCAATTTCTTTAAAAAAAAACAAGAAGTTGCACACATATTTAGGTGTAGGTATAGTGAATTATTAAGATACGTTACTGACTTTTTAAGTGCTATACAACATGTATGCATGTCAGAACAGAAATATGAACATTATGAGAACTTGATTACTTGTGTAAATTCGTTCAAAAGTACATTCCCTGCAGTTACAACTATGATCAATCGTTTATTAGAAATTTTGGCCTTGTTTAAAAAAGCGTACATTGGGGATTACATGGCGAAATCGCAATCATGTTTTAAAATTGTAGTGAAAATTGCATCAGAATATAACAATATTTTAAAAAGCCTTAATATTTCTTTAAATGCTGAAACTAATGCAACAAATGTAATAGAATTTTTGGACACGATACGTCAAAAGCGATTACTTGTGACCGATTTACTTTCATGTAATAAATTCAATCAATTTCTTAATTACTATTGTGTTCCTGAAAAAATATTGTCAACAAGATATGAATTAACACGCTCATATGAAAATATTTATCATAATTTAATATTTCTTAATTTAAGTTCAGATTTAATACAAATTTGTGAAGATTTTGTTAAAACTGACTACGATTTATATTTTAGTGAATTATTAAACTAATATATTATTTTTTATAAGTAAAATAAATACCATTTTACATTTTTAAAATTTCCTCGGTGTTATGATTTAATAAAGCCCTATATATGTATTTTAATATCATTAAAATCTTTTAAATTGTTAAATTTACTTAACAAATGTTAAAAATTAAGTGAGACTCGACTTTATTTCATTCATTAATAAAATAAAAAAATATAATAAACATTTATTACTAAAGAATAATATTATTTAAAATTAAAATTCTATTAAAAATATTGATTTATGACTAGAATATACAACTCAAAAAGTCACAAAAATTTTGTGTTAAACGAACCGAGAGAGCAGAGTGTGTGACATATAACGTGTAGTTGAAGAAATTAAAGTAAACGCTAATGTATACATAGATAGTCATAAACTGGAGCACGTAGAGGAAATGGTATACCTAGGGATCAAAATTACATCTGTTGGTAAGAGCGTCCGCGAGATAAAACAACGCATAACATTAGCTACCTTTAGTAAAAAAACATAAGTTGCTCACTTCAATAAAGTTACATCTCAATATCAAGAAGAGACTTATAAAAACATATGTAAGGAATGTTGCAACATATGGATGTGAAACTTGGATAATAAATGATACCAAAAAGAAAAAATTAGAAAAATTCTAGATGTGGTGTTGGAGGCATATAGATAAGTTGGATCGAGCGAAAAACAAATGAAGAAGTGTTTAGAGCTGTGGGAGAAAATCACACAATTATAGATGCGATTAGAGCAATACGCTGGAAAATGGTTGGAGGTGCCCTGAGACACTCAGAAGAGTTGTGTCATAACTTAAAAATTAATAAAAGAAAAAGATTGAAAGAGTTTATATTGTTGAGTGAATTAAAGTGAGGATTATAGCGAGAGTTACTTTTGATTCGGGGTGTATTTCAAGGGTTATAAAATGACAATATAAATATTCTTATAAATTTAAAAATCTTACCTGATAATTATTCTTCAATTGTTATATTAACTTCAGTGATAATATTAATAAAATGATAAATAAAATAACACAAATTCAAGTTTTTGGTTCATATATTATGCACGTAAGAACTTCGACAATGATGATCGCAATATCCACGTATCTTTATGTATCCAGAGAACGAAATGAACAGTGAGGAATAAGGGTTTGCTTCGCCTTTTTATAATATTTTATACCCCCTAAAATCATCATTGTCTAATTCTTAAAGTATAACTGTTTATTTGACAAATAATCATAAAATACA